AAAGTTTTTTGGGAATGATGCTGGAGTGACAGTCCTTGGCCAGATATGAATCTGGGTCGTTCCGGTTACGTAGACCCAATTGTTTGCTTAAAAAGCGTATAACGGTTATGATTTCACTAGAAACGACGTGTGGACTTTCCTACTGGGTAGTAAAACTCTTATTTATGTACATAATGTCATACATACAAACGTAAAGAATAAAAATTTGAAAAGATTGTAAAGCCTGGCGGGTAATACCTACGCCAGTGCAAAGAAGCATAGCTAACGTAAGCGATCACAACGGCAACAACAACTGCAGTAAAAAATGAAAGCAAATCTCCGACAACATAGGAAGGCAATTGAAATGTAACTTTTGTAGTTTGTTTTTAAGATTTGTGTTTAAAAATGCCAAAAAGAAGCAATGCAGTAAGAGATGGAGAGTAGAGGAGTAGTTTTTCATTTTGTTTTAAGAAATACTAAACTTAAGGTTTCTAAAGGTGTGAAAGGGAATTCGGAAACTCGTCAGACTTTTTATTAGAAACAAGTAATTCTTAACCAAAAAAAAAAACAAAACCGACTTCGCGATCCAATTAGTAGTATGGGACCACCCTTGAGGTACTATACTAAATACCTTTCCGATGAAACAAGAATTATCGAAATCGGTTAACGTGACCCAAAGTTATGCGGTAACATACAAAAAAAAAATATTGCAACGAACTTATAACCTGCCCCTTTTGGTGAAGTCGGTTAAAAAGTCTAAGATATATAGGGAACTCAAACGTATTAGTACATATTTATATGGTCCTTATTATTTTTACGCATTTTATGCAGGAAAAAACCATCCGTACGATATCAGCTTAAACCAACAAATCTGTATGCAAACATCTCCTGACTTCTGTTCTCTTTTTGTTACAGGGCAAAGCGCGAGGGAATCGCACCGCTATCTACCTACGTTCAGTATTTCAATCCCATCTCGAATCACTTGGTAGTTCCGTACAAAAGCATGCCGGCAAAATGCTCTTTGTTGCCATTCTAGTGTTAAGCACCTTCTGTGTGGGCTTAAAGAGTGCCCAAATCCATTCGAAAGTACACCAGCTATGGATACAAGAAGGTGGCCGGCTAGAATCAGAACTTGCCTACACACAAAAAACGATTGGCGAAGATGAATCCTCTACGCATCAGCTAATCATACAGACAGCGCAAGATGCAAATGCGTCTGTGTTGCATCCGCAAGCGCTGCTGGCGCATTTGGAAGTATTGAAGAAGGCGACGGCGGTGAAGGTGCATATGTACGACACGGAATGGGGTTTGCGTGATATGTGCAATTCGCCGACAACGCCAAGCTTCGAGGGACACTATTTCATCGAGCAGATTTTTAAGCATTTGATACCATGTTCAATAATAACACCACTTGATTGTTTCTGGGAAGGCAGTCAGCTGTTGGGTCCTGAATTTCCAGTACAAATACCGTAAGTGTTGAAGCAAAGTACATGTAGAATATATAATTGAAATACAAAACACTTTTTCTTGTCTTTCTCATACGCAGCGGCATCGACAAGCGCATCATGTGGAGCACAATGAACCCCTCCAGCCTCGTGCAGACGATGAAACAACAAATGAGTGATCAGAAAATATCTTTCGACTTCGATATGGTTGAGCAGTATATGAAACGTGCCGGTATTACCACTGGTTACACGGAGAAGCCCTGTCTAGATCCGAAAAGTGTAGAATGTCCTGAAACTGCACCGAATAAGGGCAGTCAGCAGCCACCCGACGTGGGCGCCATACTCACTGGCGGCTGCAATGGTTATGCCACCAAGTACATGCATTGGCCTGAGGAACTCATAGTCGGTGGCGTGCAACGCAATCGCTCGGGACACTTGCGCAAAGCTAAGGGGCTACAAACGGTCGTACAACTTATGACCGAGAAGGAAATGTTTGATTTATGGAATGATAACTATAAAGTACATCACATCGGTTGGACGCAGGAGAAGGCGGCGGAGGTTTTGAACGCTTGGCAGCGCAATTTTTCAAAGGAGGTCGAAACTTTGCTGAAAATGAACCGGCGCATAGCCAATAACTATGACATCTATGTCTTCTCATCGGCCACCTTGGACGACATACTCGCCAAATACTCGAACCCCAGTCCGATTAGCATTGTAATTGGCGTGATTGCAACGGTACTCTATGCATTTTGTACGCTTATACGCTGGAAAGACCCAGTTAAGGGGCAAAGTAGCGTTGGTGTCGCAGGCGTGCTACTCATCGGTTTCTCCACTGCTGCGGGCTTGGGGCTTTGTGCGCTACTTGGTATTGTTTTCAATGCAGCGAGTACGCAAGTGGTTCCCTTTTTGGCGCTTGGCTTGGGCGTTGATCACATTTTTATGCTTACTGCTGCCTATGCGGAAAGTAATCGCAAAGAACAGACGAAATACATACTGAAGAAAGTCGGCCCGAGTATACTCTTCAGCGCGTGCGTCACTTCCGGCTCATTCTTTGCTGCGGTTTTCATACCAGTGCCCGCATTGAAAGTTTTCTGCCTACAAGCCGCAATTGTGATGTGCTTCAATTTGGCTGCAGCACTACTCGTTTTTCCTGCAATGATTTCTTTGGACTTACGTCGCCGCACAGCAGGCCGCGCAGACATTTTCTGCTGTTGCTTTCCGGTGTGGAAGGAAAAACCAGTGACGGCAGCGGTAACCAATACGCGCTACAATAATAATCGACGAAATGCTTATGCTGTGAAAAATTGTAATAATCGTGCCACAACCGCTTCGGCACAGCAGCCACAGTTGAAATATCAAGAGGAGGCATTACTCTCATGTTCCGAGAAGCGCATGCCCTCCTTATCGCTCTCGAATTTCGCTTTTAAGTATTACACGCCTTTCTTAATGAAAAGTTGGGTAAAGTTCCTGGCCATTGTCACTTTCGTCGGCACGCTCGTCTTCAGTCTGTATGCCTCAACGCGGCTACAGGACGGCCTCGACCTAATCGATCTGGTGCCCAAGGATACGAACGAGTATAAATTTCTCAATGCACAAGCATCGATGTTCGGCTTCTACAGCATGTATGCCGTGACGCAGGGAAATTTTGAATATCCAACCAATCAAAGACTGTTGCACGAATACCACGAGGCCTTTGTCCGTGTACCACACGTTATAAAGAATGACAATGGTGGTCTGCCGGACTTTTGGCTGTCATTATTTCGCGATTGGTTGTTCAATTTACAGCGCATATTTGACCGAGAATTCAGCGAAGGTAGGCTTACGCCCGAAGGCTGGTTATCCAATGCGACCAGCGATGCAATATTGGCCTACAAGTTGCTCGTGCAAACTGGATACGTCGATAACCCGGTAGACAAAAGTGTGGTGACACAAAATCGTTTGGTAGACAACGAGGGTATTATCAATCCAAAGGCCTTCTACAATTATCTGTCTGCATGGGCCACGAATGATGTTTTCGCCTACGGTGCTTCACAGGTGAGTTACTAGAGCTACGCAAAAAGTGTGTGTATAATTTATAATTTCGCTATTTCTGCTTCACAGGGCAAACTACATCCAGAACCGCGGCAATATTTTCACATAGCTGGCGAATATGATCTCAAAATACCGAAGAGTCTGCCACTGGTGTATGCGCAGTTACCGTTCTATCTTCATGGACTAACTGATACATCGGAAATTAAGGCGCTTATTGGACATATACGCGATCTAAGTGTGAAATTCGAGGCGCGAGGACTACCAAACTATCCCTCAGGTGAGTGAGCTGGAAGTTAAAGTGTGCCAGGGAGTAGGAAATAATAATAAATTGTTTATTCTGTGCTAGTCTCATTATTTGCAAGATTTAAGCAAGTTACCAAGTATAACAAGAGCAACAGAAAAAGTAAATGTTAGAATCGAGTTCTGATACTACATTACTATCCATTTAGTAACTTTAAAGCAAACTGGTTGGAGCTCAAAAATGTCTCCACTCACATTTTCGTTTCTACTCATCTTTTCGTTAACACCTCGTTCAAATTGTATTATATTTTTTCTTTATATTTGTTCAATTTTCAGGCATACCCTTCATATTCTGGGAACAGTACATGACGCTGCGCTACTCACTCGCCCTCATTCTTTGCATTTCACTCACTGCCGCCTTTATATTGGTCTCCATACTCCTGCTATCCGTTTGGGCTGCCGCTTTGGTCGTTTTCAGCGTCGTCGCCTCGCTGATACAAATTTTCGGCGCAATGACTATCTTAGGCATAAAACTCTCGGCAATTCCTGCAGTGATACTGATATTAAGCGTAGGCATGATGGTATGCCTTACAGTACACATTTCACTGGTAAGTTTGTTGTTGCAACACTTTATAACGAATTCCCAATTAAATTCATACTTCATTTTATCTTCCCGCACAACAGGGTTTCATCACGTCCGTGGGCAATCGCGAGCGTCGCATACATCTTTCCATGCAAATGTCACTTGGTCCACTTATACACGGTGTGCTCACTTCCGCTCTAGCTGTGTTCATGCTATCCACCTCACCATTCGAATTTGTCATACGTCACTTCTTTTGGCTGCTGCTTGTTGTGCTGTGTGTCGGCGCTTACAATGGACTCATACTCTTCCCCATCATACTGAGCATGTTCGGCCCTGAGGCGGAGTTAGTACCACTCCAACATCCAGATCGCATTTCAACACCATCCCCTGTAATGTCGCGCAGCAAGCGCGCCAACAAGACGGTGGTGGTGCATGGCGGACGTTCGTCACGTTCTTGCAGCAAGAGTATGCATCATCACAAAGATATCAATATAAATGATCCCTCGCTAACAACCATTACCGAAGAGCCGCCCTCTTGGAAATCCTCTTCATCGTCGATACAAATGAATAACGAATGGAATGGCACAAATATGAATAATACGCCATATATTACAAATGGCACGCAACAACAGCAGCAGCAACAACAGCAGATGAACAACTACAACATGAACAATTACTATATGCATCGCCCGCAACAGAATTATGCTCATCATCATCTTCAGCATCAACAACAAGCACCGCCACCACCACCGTCCCACCAACAACAACAGTCACAACAAAGTCCCATTTATGGTGGGCCAACGGCATTTCACAAATCACAGCAATCACAAGCACAACAACAACAACAACACCAAGAAGGTGCAGCGCCACCACCACCACCGCCAACGCCGTCAACAAAAACTCACAACACGCATACGCTTGGTGGCGTCGGCGGCCAACACGAAGCATGTAACTTTCCCGAGTTGCAGAGTATCGTGGTGCAACCGGAAGTCACTGTGGAAACGCACCACTCGGACACGAATACAACAAAAGTAACAGCGACGGCGAACATCAAAGTGGAATTGGTGACGCCGGGACGTGCGATGCGTAGCTATAACTTTAGCAGTTAGCGGTCGCGGCTGTACGGTGACGGCGGCACATTAGGGATTTAATGTATTTATTTACTTAGTTATGTAGGAATGTTTGAAAATTGTTACACGAGTTCGAAGGCACAAAATTAGCGTTGAAAGTCTGACTGATTGGTTGTGTGACACTAAATTCTTTACTTGTAAATGCCAACTGTCAAAACTTGGCTTGGAAAGGAAAATATGAAACGAATTAACGTATGTCAAAGCAATACTCGTTGAAAAGAATGCAGGGCATTGTTTAAGGTGTTTAAAAATTTAATTTCAAAAATATTATCAATTAGGAAAATAAATTTCGACCAAGCTATAATTATACTAAAAAATCGTACTTATTCAAAATTCTGCAAGAAAAAATATTGCGAAAAAATAAATACATATTTTTTAAATTTTACACATTTTGTAAATTTTCTTTTAATTTCAAGTTTTTTTTAGTTTTTCGGTGTCTGCTCGCATGCAACGCTGGATATTGCTTTCCCCACTTTATGAAATTTTTTCATTTATTTCTAACAAACTCAACAGACTTTCAACGCATAAAAAACCTCTACAATTAACGCTTCCCAGTAAAGAGTTGATTTAAGTAATTTAAACAAAATCTAAATTATTGGCTCGTATTCTTGCTTTTGTACGAATTAAAAGTTTGGACACTTTCTTATCGTTTATGAGCTGGAAAATTTTGAATTTGTAATTAGCACAAATGCACAAATATGAGCCATACATTTTTTTAAATCCCAAAAAACCTAAAATATTTATGAAATTTTGAAATTTGTGTAAGCATTTTTTAAGTAGATATTATAAGCAAATATTTTGATAACTATTTTAGTTTCGTAATTAGCTGCGTTTGTGTATGTAAATAGCATTAAATAATCAACCAAATAGTATGACATCAATTTGAGATGACAAAAAAAATCATTTTTGATATGTGGCCACACTGTGTAGCTTAGCACAAAATAAAAGCGCTCAAATTATCAATAAATATAGTAAACAAACAAAAAATCAAAAAATACTCATAATATTTTTAATAAAAATTACCCGCATGCAAATATGCATTGGGAATAATGCACAATAATAAAAATTGAAACTAGTACAATTTTTTTACGACTTAAATTTGTATCGACGTACAAAAATGCATACAATCAACTCTATTGCTAGTGTCGACTTTTAGTATATAAATTACTATTATTCGATTATCGCTTACCCATGAAATTCTGATTGTCGATTTCTCGCGTAATAAGCAACTGTGAATAGTTTTTAGTCGCTCATCCTTCTACAACTGTTTGTTTGTGGAAGGATGGGTGACTAAAAACTATTCACACACATTTACTGAAGGAGAAAACTACATTGAAAATACCATGGATAATCGATAATCGACTAATAGTTTTGTTTATCTACTACTAGTCGACACTCGCAATATGGGTGATTATTTAAATTAAACATGTTTGTAAATATTATTACTATTAACATTATTATTATTATAAAACAAAAAAGTATTGCATTTGTCCCCACTCGAATTACTAGAAAAGAGTAGCGCTAATGACTTAACAAACACAAAGTATTCAAGTTCAATTTTAACCTCAAATCGGAAGTATGTATTCCAACATGCCTCGAACGAATACGCTAAGAAAGTTGAAAAGAAATCTAAATTTTATACATTTATTTATTGCTAAAGTAAAATTTAATTAGAATTTTTTTTTGATAAGTTAGGCATTTCCAAATTTTTTAAGCATTTACGTAAATCAACTGAAAAATTGATAAACAATAAAATAGTTTAAGGCCAACACACTTAAGCCGAGCTAAAATATACTTAAAAAAAAAATCCTTCGAATATTGCAAAATACAATAGCTTTCCTATGCATGTTTAGTTATTCGCTATTGTTTTTTCGAAAACGGATTAAGTGATCTGTACACGAAGGCAAGATTGACTCCGTCGCTTTAATACGACGTTTAGTAGTTAACATTTTGTAAATTTTGTTTTTATTTGCACTTTAAATTATTTTCCTGTGCATAGTTAATGGTTGTTTACTACTATTATTTTTATTATTTCATAATTTAACTATATTATGTAGATAGATATAAGCAACTCTGTATGTATACACTTATCCAAGGGAGAGAATTATTTAATAAATTTACTAGGTATGTTTCCTAAGTGTAGCCCTAAATGAAATTCATTGTATTGCGTGTGTTCGACAAAAAAACTGAAATAACAATTAAACAATTTTAAAACTAATGCGTTATTCTTTTATTAAACGGTGATAAGCGACTAAAAATACTGGATATGATCTATCTGTACTATATATGTAGAAGGTGATCCATCTAAGCATTTTTTTCATTCGCTTTTTTAAAAATTACGCGCGACTAGTGTCATACTGTCGCCTCATTTTTATTCAGTATTGGAAAGGCTCACAGCCCAACAACGTCTCTAAATTATTCTGTGAGAAAAGTTTTTGCACTTCGATTCCATCATCAAGTCCATCAAAAAGTCTTCGCCGATAAGCCAGCTGCCATTCAAAACTGGAAAGCCACCATTACTCGGGTATTGCGCGAAAGCAGCGAAAAAATTGTTAAAATCGGATTTTGTTGCTATTCCTTTCTGGCACAGAGTTTTATTTTAATATTTAGAGACCTTTGCCTGAGAAGAGCCCAGGTAAAACTTTCCGGAGAATAACCCTCTAGAACCTTTTAATTCTCTCACGATCTTCAAAATTTGCTTTTTGAAGGGTCTCTTAAAGTAAGGGTCAAAACGACCCTTTCAGGCGGGAGCCGATAGGTAAAAATTTTCTATGAAAATATTTCCCATGAAATTTTACTATGTACACCTTAACCTTTAATTTCGCTCAGACATTTATTTTAACCATTTTTTCCACTTTTTTGTAGCTACTTAGGCCGGGACATGAAAACTTTAGTAGGCCATAAAATAAAAATACGAGCTAACTTTTGCAAATCCATAACAAAGTTCGGGCTGTATTTGGATATCGCACAGTTTAACTAGAAGTTAAAAATGTCTACTCAGGGCCGGTTACTCAATGTCTGGTTAACACTAATCTCCGGTTAAACATAGTTATCGACGTTACCGACTCCCTGTTATATGCATGGAGTCGAAGTCGTCGATAACGATGTTTAACCGCCGATTAGTGTTAACCAGACATTGAGTAACCGGCCCTTAAAATCGATTTTGAAGGATTTTACACTTCGACTTTATTTAAATAGCAGAAGAAGGCAGACGTAGGCGGACAATTTTTATACAATTTGTAGTCAAAGATCCAAAGTACATTCTTAAAGCCCAGTTAGTCTAGACTTAATGTCCGTAACTTAACTTAAATTCATATTTTTGCCAACCTGTTATATGAGAAACTGTGTTGGCGGTTAGTTAAAACTTAACTTACCGTAAGAAACTTAAGAACCGGATTTTAGGTTCTTAAGTTACGGCCTTGCGGAAATTGACAGCGGTGAGAGGATCAGACTTGTCAGCCTCTCGTTTTTGTATTTTTTTTTTTAAATAAATGATGGGACATTTTTGGTGGCGATCTGTTAAAAAGCTGAAAAAAGAAAATACAAAAACACAATGGCTGCGTTTCTTTATACATTCCAGATAATCCCATTTCACAGCCAGAATAAACAGAATGCGTTTGAAATATGCGTTAACATATCATCAGGAACGTTCTAAAGAAAAAAGTAAACAAAAAAGTTTATTCCAAACGTTCAGAATGAATAAAGAAATGCAGCCAATATTTTCGCTTCTGCCTTAAGTTGACGTGTTGACTAATAAATGATAATTTCTTACGGTAATAATGGGCTTTGCGTGTAAGCGGTTACCCAACGCATGGCACTTAACATGTAGAATTCTGTTGGGTTTTGATTTTTACGTAAAAATGGTATAGCAGTGCAAGTATGAATAACTGGACTATAAGTTAAATTAAGTTAAGTCTAGACAAACTGAGCTTTTACAGTGGCTACACACGAAGAACATGTCGTCGCCTGGGTAAAAGATTGTCGTATGTTACGCACGAACGTATGACGCTTACGACAATCTTTTACCCAGGCGACGATGTGCAAGAGCATGCTCAGCTTGCGATGGATGTTCGTCGTTTGTGGGCCGGTTCACGAGCATATTCGCAAAAAATCAACAAATTTTGATGTTCGGTGAGCATGCTCGTCGTTTGTGGCGTGGTTTGCGAACATTTCATTGGAAACAAAAACAACAACCTCATTTTGTGCTGATGCTTGCAGAGTGCACATCGGCGGATAAATACATCCTTTATCTGTGGCTCTATTCGCAAGATTCTCGCTGAACCATGGTACAATAAAAACAGGTAGAAGCCAATTTGACGTCAAACCTACAAAAGTCAAAGTTTTCGGGAGAGCAAATAGAAAAATGAACGTGTGTAAGGAAAAATAAAAAATTGCATTTCACTGGTTAACGTTTTTAACCCTCTCGATACAAAAAATCAGCCGCTGAAGTTAAAATTCGGAAAATTTGTTTATCTGCTACTTTTGGGTCATTGATTTCAAAAATACAATAAAAAATTTGGTAAAATTAGTTTTACCGTTATTCAGCGTCCATTATATTGGACAGTGGTACTCTAGATTTGTAAGCAGGGAAGTGATATCAATAATTTTTAATTTTTCTTTTGCGAAATATATTTCAAAACTGAGAATAATATTTAACATATTTTTCGGATCTCAATTCTACCGAAAAAGAATGTATTTGTTCATACATATTACACTACTCAATATCGATTTTTGACAAACTTTTCTCTTTTGTGAAAAAACACGGTCAACTGCATCCCGAAAATACGGTAAATAAGAATAATAGTTTAAGAAAAAAGAGCTTTAAGTACAAAAAAAAGCTTGTCCAATATATTGACCGATTGTACTGAAAGGGTTAAGTAAATTTGAAGTTTATTCTTATTTATTTATTTATTTTTTTAGTTAAAATTTGTTAATTTTTATACTGTTTTCTATTTTTGATTTGAGTTGCAGTTTTGTTG